AAATTAAAGAATTACATAAAAAATAGAACTTTTAAATAGTTGATTTGATATTAATATTGATATATATATATTTTAAATTTTTTTGATATTTTAAATTTATATTTTATTCAAAAATATAATCATTATTGCTTTATTAAAAACACATAAAATCGTATTATAATATCGACAGAGACAAATAATAAAATCAAGATGTGTTTCGTTGCATTACGCGAATACTCTCCTAGTATTAGAATAAAATATAAAAATTTATACCATATATTTTATTAAATGTGTTACAAGTTAAAATTAAAACAAAATTCACTTAATTTTCTAATATTGTTTGAAACAAGATCTTCAATTGATTCTTCGTAATTGACCTTCTCCAATAAATCGTTAATTTAAAAGATTAGTATACCAATTAACAATTGTTGTTTACCTCAAAATCACATGAAACTCTAGCTCCTCTGAACTCTCAAGTTTGATGTGTATTATGAACAATGGCGATTGGTATCGTGATAAAAGAAGTCAACGAAATTGAAGGTGTTGCTCGTCAAACAAGAAAATAGAATATTATTAATTAGAGTTGTCTTTGGTCCTTTAATCATAAAATTAGCGATCGAAAAAATACAGATGAACAAGACTAGTCCACTGCGAGAGTTCAGATTTTAAATTAGAGATCTAAGAAGAAGGAATTACATATTATAATAAATTTCGCAAACGTGGCGATTTTGTGCAAAGTTTGAAAAAGATGGTGAGACCTCCTTTTAAAATGGTTAGTTTTATGATTATCTTAAAATAAATCCTTTCTTATAACTGAGTGAATAAGGACCGTTTACCAAACGATTACCTGGGTAAGCATTAAAACTTCGGTAAGTGAGGGCAATGACTTCTACCATGTAATTTGTTGCATTGGTAGACTAAAGTCTTGTCCGCTAAGTGAATGATAGCGTTGAATTTTGTAAGTGAACACTTACCCGGGTAAGCGTTTGGTAAACGGCCCCTAAGTTATTAAGTTGATCATGTAATCCTACAGGTGTTGCTCGTTCTTGGAGCATCTGGAGGTGTTGGTCTTGCAGCTGTTCAAATCGGAAAGATTTGTGGTGCGATTGTCATTGCCGTAGCTAGGTGTGTGTTACCGTCTATATGAATCGCCTAATTTTCAACCAATTCTACACATTTATTGAATTTAAATTCTCAGAGGATCCAAGAAAGTAGAGTTTTTGAAGTCAGTGGGTGCGGATCATGTTGTTGACTTGAGCAACGGAGGTATGATCAAAAGCGTGAAAGCATTTTTGAGAGGGAAAAAGTTGAAAGGTGTTGATGTTCTGTACGATCCAGTTGGAGGCAAACTTACGAAAGAAAGCATGAAGTTGTTGAATTGGGGAGCACAAATTTTGATTATAGGATTTGCGAGCGATGAGGTCCCTCTCATTCCTGCTAATATTGCACTTGTTAAGGTAAGGTAGTCAACTCAATTATTTACTAAAGAACGATACCCAGGTCATAAGCTCAGCTGACTCTTCCAGAAGGTCAAGGGTTCAAAGCGAAATGTGGGTGAATATATATATAGTTAGAAATGGTAAAATTGGGAATTGATGGGTATTTTTGGGGCAGAATTGGACAATTCATGGATTCTACTGGGGGAACTATGAAGCAATAAAAGCAGGTGGAATAGAAGAGTCTGTGAAGGAGCTGCTATCTTGGTTGGCAAGGGGCTTGATTACCATCCACATTTATCATTCATACAAACTCCAAGAGGTAACAAGTCTTGAAAGAGAAATGTTGCAATGAATATGAAAAACAACCAAAATGACAAGAAGTGTTTGGAAGTTGAGATTGAAAATGTTGTTTTGGCAGGTCAACCTTGCATTTTTAGATATCAAGGAGAGGAAAGTAATTGGGAAGGTCATGATTACTTCTACTTCTACTTCTACTTCTACTTCTACTTCTAGGCTCTAAGTATAAGTAGTGTCCTTCTAGTTGTATTCCGATTTTAATTTTTCTAGACTCTACTCTTCACTTCAAAAATGTATCCATCCATAAATGGTGAAAAATACTTCTATTAATTAATTATATTGAATCCGACAGCCATTGCTTTTAATGCTACGTGAACAAGTAATATTCTGTTTTTTTTAATAGTCTGTTGCATAAAATTGGTTATCATATATACTATAGTGATTTTCTTTTATGATTGTTCAGATGCATAATATACCTTAAATAACGCACTAACTTAAAAATTAGACAACTCTCAAAATTTTGTAATAAAAACAAGGTCGGTCGGTCCTGAGGCTTCTAATGTCCTGTGAGAGAATGCTAAAATATGCCTCATGCCGATTTTTTAAGCAAACGAAACATACTATTTTGATTTTCTAAAGAATTTGGGACCTAGTTAATGAAGGTATCAAAACAACCAAACAAGAAGGGATGAGAAACAATATTCACTTATTTGATGACCGTATTTAAGTTGTCTTTCTTTAATTAGATTACTTAATTGACGCACTGGACGGTTTGGCTTGTTGTTTATAGCCCATATGATTAAACCAAAGCTAATGACACATAAAAAATTGATGCCCTGTACGGTCGCCTGAGATTAAAATAAAACCAACTTTGTATTAGTAATTCCTATTGCAAAACTTCTTATTTTGTGAGAGCAACATGTTGTTTTGGGATACTAAAATGATACCAACGTTGCTTTCATTCCTATTTTGAAAACCAACTTTTCTAAAAATGGACATTTAAGAGAAATAATTGATTTCATTAGAATGCAATTTGTCAAAACACCCAAAATGGAAACTATTACAAGCTCGTATTTGTTAACATTTTTCAGATATGAGGGAGGGGAAAGTAAACGGGAAAATGATCCAAAAAACATAATTTATTTTAGGCACTAGAAGCCAGCCAGTATGAGTTAGTTACCAAATAAAGATGGTGTTGGTATATGTGACAAATTCCCCAAATACATAGTTGGAACAAAACTATGTGGTTTTAGCATCAATAATGTTTTCACTCCCAAACAATTTATGTTACTGATAACACAATTTCAACACATGTTTCAGTATATTTTAAAAACGAAGGAGTTTATACTAATTATTCTGGTTTTGGTAATTGGCGATCGAATGTTAAAGTCGATGGTCATACACCTTTTTGTAGTCCCAAAATTTTTATACTTGGAATTTGGTAACATTTTCCATTTCTTATGTTGTTTTGAGAGAAAAAAGAAGATATAACATTGTCTGTCTAAGCAAATACAAGAATTAAAAAAAAACCACAAATATAAAAGAAACCCCCATTTAAGATACTAAACATTTGAGAATTTTTTGAAAAGTGTTCAGTCTGTCAAAAAGCTGTGTGCAAAGGCATTGGCACATCTTTCTTGAAATTTAACATGATTGTAAATGCCAGAAATGAAAATGCTCTTTGTATATAACAGCAAATGACTGACCCACTACCTTTTTGTTATTATTATTGAAATTAAATAATTTGAAGATTTAAGGCCAATAATAGATTAAGAAATAGGAGAGATTAAAAGCTGAACTCCTTATTCAGAAGAAAGCAAGTAAAGTAGGTGATATTCACATTTTAAGGGAAGAATCTGAATTTGCAACTACGAATGGAAAGGGAAGGGAATAATGTTTGTCAACTTATCTACTAGTAGTAGTAGTAGGGTTCTTGAGTTGAGTTTTGAGGAAACGTACATACTCATGCTGTACCATCTCCCCTCCATTCACGGGATCAAATATGCACCTGTAGAAACTGATCATTTTCACAATTCATCAGATACCACAACACAATCACAATCACAATCACAATCACAATCAATGGGAAACAACTCACCTTCCATCCATACCCACAATAATCACTGTGTTCTGTGATCCAAATGCCGACATGTACTGGGTGGATTCAGGCAAGTGAAACCGAGCAAATGACCATTCTGAGCTAAAGTACTTCGGCAACACCCCTAAACACATCCACAACAATATCAGATTGCCCATCTAAACCAATTACTTCAAGAGCTACAATTCAATTCAATTCCCACCAAAATACGAAATGCTTTCCGAAAGAAACTATGATTCTTGATTTTTGATATTTTCATGCTCCATTGATAATCAATATACTATTTCATTCCCACAAAAATTGCAACATTTCCTTTTTTAGAAAATGACATCTGCCCATCATCATCATTGAGAGAATTACTTTGAGCCCACCACGTTTCTCTATTTTGCCTTCATTGAAAAACATTTGATCAATAGTCAACAATTTTCTTAAACTATATGTCAAGTCAAACATTGCATTTCTCATGAGATGGAGGAGGTAACATATCAAGATTATCGGATTCATAGGGGGTCACCTGGCTTCAAGGTTCTAAATGACGTGACCTGTTGTGTGGCCGCAAGGTCAAGCCTCAAGTTTTACTAGTTACGGCGAGGTCATGGCGTTTTTCAAGGCGTGGCTTAAGACAACAATACGCCGTGGCTTAAGACAACAAATCATGTGTGTAATATATATAATATATAAGGGAAGGATCATTTAGGAACCTTAAATCTTTTAGGAACCAGGAACCACCTATTTTGTGACAATATTCATCATAAATATTTGTCACGACATTCAAATATATGAATATTACAGAAAATGATACGAAGAGCTCATAACAAAAAGAATGTTCTATCAATGGTTCCATAATCCATCTATCTTTGATCTAACATCATATACAAAAAGTGTGTTAGATTAGATGTATCATATAAAGAAACTATCCTTCCATGAAATCAACTCCATGTTTGTGTACATGAGTAAGGATTTAGGGTTTTAAGTTTTTCCTTCTTGTTGTTTTATTTAAGTCTTTTATTCAATAAGGTCCTGCTATCAGTCGTACATAATAATCCCTAGGTTAGATATAAAAAAAATTAGAAAACCTCACAACTTATCACGTCTTGCGCCATAACGAGCCATAACACACCTTATTGTGCCTTACCATAAGCCACGCATGCCCTGCCACGGAGGTTAACTTGGCGCCATAGCATGCTTTATCGCTACCATAACGTGTTATTTTGAACATTATGCAGCTCTTTTTTTAACTAAAGGTCAGGTTGGCATATCCCATCACCTAATCTTTCTAATATGGCCATCCTTGCAGACATAGTAATTAATCACTTACTATTTCAGTTTCAAAAAGTTACCCACTTGCTAGTTGGGTCATGGGTGCTTTAGAGCTCTCGTTAATCCTACAAGAACTGCAACATCTTTCTAGGATGTTCCATGAAAATTGCACAATTTCCTTTTCCAAGATAGTTTTTAGGTTACAATTACCTAATTGCCATCGATCATCTAAAAAATGAAGTCAAGTATAGATTTGAGTCCACAAGGTTGCTTTATTTTCTCTTTGTTGGGGAGTATTTTAGCCATCTAATTGTCATACACTTTCTCATAAACTGTCTATATGTCAAGCCAAGCATTGTAAATTTCATGGACAGGAGAGTGGTTCTTATGATACTTCATTTCAAAAGGAGCACCTTTCAGCCCAAAGCAATGCTCTAAGAAGTAAATAGATCGATTAACTTTAATTGCCATTGTTAAAAATAAAAATCACATACAATTTAAGGGATCTTATATTACCTTTCATGAAAGATAGCGAAGAACCAGGGTTGGCACCAATACTTGGCGAAATGAGGGCATCAAGAGAAGATGAAGAATTCTGGTGGGATAGTGCTGGACTGTCGATAGCTTTAGATTGAGTTGATAGATCCTCACTGACCACCCGCACTCTGAGACTAAATATATGCACAGTACCTTTGTCGCTTGACACAGCCAGCCATTGGACATTTGGAGAAAGGGCTATACCATATATATCAGCTCTATCCACTCCTCTGCGAACCTACAAGGACATATAGATAGTGAAATAGGTAAGTTCCATGTGATGTTTTAGTTTCTACCTTCATTTGTTTCCAAATTTTCTGATATGAGATCTTTTAAAATAATAATAGAACACAAATTTGAACAAACATTACATGAACACTCATATAAAAGAACAAATCATACCTCTTGCAATCGAGTCCCATCCATTGTGTTGAAAATTCTAATCAATGTGCCCTTTGTGCTAGCGGTGGCAAGAAGAAGTCCGTCCATTGTCATGGTTAAGCATGCTATTCGAGAATCATGAGCATTGATCAACTTTGTCATATTTAGTCCAAAATGTTCAACCCTAACTTGTCCTCGGCGTAAACCTGGGCAAGCCATTACAGATGTATTCACCTGGTGCGAGAGGCAACAAAGTCCTCTAGAATTTGCCAGGGTCTCTATCTGATGTAGAAGCTTCAGATCCGTAAAATTATAAACATATATCTTGTGTTCAAGAACAACAACAATACGATCACGTCTTAATTTTACAGCCCTAACCTCTGACCTAAATGAAAATTCACCAATACATCGACTCTGATGATCATCCCAAATTATTACTTTATTTGGCGGATACTGTGTATTAGCTTTACCACCGACAAGTGCTAGAATGTTGCTTCGGAAAAGCATCTCAATTATCCCAAATCCCCCACTTTTGAGATCACGCCTGAAGGTTTCTTTAAAAGGATCACAGTTATATATACGAAAACCATGGGTTGTCCCGGCAGCAAAACAACCATAATCCTGGTTCCAGGACACTGATAGTAAATCTATTTCACTCTCATCTATCTCTGGATTTGAATTGCCGGAGGGATCATTAATGGCATCCATTAGGGGCTCAAAAGCAGCAAACTCTGATTGTTGAAACTTGAAATCCTCCGTGCTCGTTGAAACAGCCAAACTCATAGGGGAAGAAACAATAGTCATCAAGGCAACCTAAAGCTGTAAAAATGTTCAACAAACATAATTTATTTTCCAGAATTAATCAATTAGAAACAATAATTAGCATGCTGCAAATAAGTATCAAGTAAAAACTCAAGAATTGTGTAAAAGAACTTGAATAGAAAAAAATGAGTCGAAATACATGCTACAGTGAAATTGATATAAGTGGTGTCAAGCAATATTCTCAAGTTTCTACTTTTTAAAGGACTCCTGATTATGTTCTTCAAATGTGTACATCATGTAAATGACACTTACACCCAGAAACAAATCCATGGTACGAGTACTTGGTATTGACAATCTGAGACTTCCTTACTATTTCGCAGTTCCTTAATGCCTATCCATGCAACATAGTACCTTGAACATGCTACTTTTTGGAAATACGTAGATATAATTGCTGAGTGGGCCTTTTTTCTATTTTACCAGTCCTACCAGCCAATTGCTGCTAGTTATGGTTATAACTATCCAATTGCCTAGATCACACATTTAATTTCCTAATTATATGATAGATATTGTGATTCTACGAATTTTCTGGCATTTATATTCACCTAGGTCCAAATTCAACAAAGTATTCACTCAAGCACTAGAATAATTCAAAGATTCCTACCCGTCAAATTGAAAATCATATCCAGTCTTTCATGGATGATAATATCATGAGAACCTAAAAAGAGTCGCAAACAGACGTGCAAGGAAAACGAAAGGAAATGGGTGACTATAACCATTCCTAAATTCCTATCTATCGCATTGAAAATCATATCAAGTCTTTCACAGATAACGATTTGATGAAACTAAAACAGTCGGCAAGCAAAACTGAGCAATCCATAAGGAAAACCAAAGAAAATAGACAGCGACAATGATTCATAAATCACTTTCTATCAAATTGAAAATCATATCAATACTTTAACACAGAACCATTTCATGAAACTAAAATGGTAAGCAAACAAATCGAACCAATCATACAAGGAAAACGAAAGGGAATCAACAACTTACGAAGTCATTGAAAATTCACTCGATCGCGCAATCCTGTAAATCGATATCGCCTCAACAGCTACCTATCAATATCCGTAAATTATACACATACGAAACGTGAAAGTGAAGCAAAGTGTTGAAATCTGAATCAAATGAAGAAATTAAAAACCCTAGAAATAAGAATCTGGAACCGATTATAATCAACTCACCTTGAAGAAGAAGTTTTACAAGTTCAAATCAGGATCCAATGGTCAAAGTTGAGTGCGATTGAGGATTAAATTGGTTGGAAAAAGGAAGGACTGATTTTTGGTGTGCAAGAGTGAGAGGGAGATGAGATCAGAGAGCATGACGTGAAGTTTTGTTGGTGGAAAACTCGTGATTAAGAAGCAAGACGACTGGAAATTTGTTGCAGATTTTGTTTTGGTTTTAGGCACACCATCAAACACATGCGTCTGCTTGAGCCTTCCCAATTTTAGAGGTCACGAAGCCGTGAGTAACATGTCAGCCAACATGAGATGCAAATAGTAATTACAAAATATTTCAATAATAGAAGCCCAAAATACATTTTAAATATTTCAATAAATAGGGAGGTAACTCATATCAACATGGTAATCGGTTAATGTTTTAACCGATTATCTGGGTACTTAAATATTTAAAACTTTATATTTTAGGTACCAAAATGGAAATTCTAAAAGTACGTTACCCTAAATAAGAATTAAGTTAAAGTACGTTAGTTTTTCATGCAATTTGCTCTTATAAGTATATATCAATATGGGTATCAAGTTAAAATAAATACTTATTTTTTATATAACTTTTTAAAAGTTAATTATATTTATGATAATTTTCGTCCCTGTTGTTTAAACAAAACTACGAAACCACTCATGTAATTCAGTAAATATAGAAATGATCGCTACAGATTGCATTTTACTTTGCTAGTGGTCTCTAATACCGACTCCGTTAAAAAAAGTGTATGTTACGTGAGAAGGATCTTGGTCATTTAACCCCTTTTTTATTCTTTAGTAAAAAATTAAACAACGGGAACCCACATCCAGCCCTCTTTAGCAACTCTTTCTCCTGTCATATTCTCCAACAGAATTGATAGAAGTTTCTCTTTCCTCTCCGGCTAGCATCTAGAACCTCCCATTTCTATCCTCTTGTCCCTACTCATCATCACAACAAACACTAACAAAGAAGGGTTTGATTAGGACTTACCCACTTGAATCATGTATCTAATCTATGGAAGTGTTTGACGGACCCGAGTCTAGCAGTGCCGCTACTAGAAGTAAGACTAGACAGTAAATTGAATTTTGTGGAAACAGCAGAAGTTATAACTGATCGAAAAACCAAAGTATTGCGGAACAAGTAAATCAGTCTGGTAGAAGTTCAGTGGCATTTTCACAAAGGTTCTGAGGCAACCTAGGAGTTAGAATCCGAAATGAGAACCGAATATCCGTGATTATTTAATTGAATAAATTCTGGGACGGAATTCTTTTGAGGTGTGGATAATATGATAAATAGGTTCTGGTTATCACCTGAGGTAATTTTTATGTGATTACCTGATTACATGATCATGTGAATATTTGATTAATTGCTATAATTGGTCAGGTGGGGACATGCTTACATGAGATTAATATGTGAGTATGTATATTCTATGCATGGGAAATATGATTATGTGTGTAAGCAAGGAAATGCATGTAGTTTTATATACATACATGTGTGGGTGCATGTGTTGATATATGTATGCATGTTTTATGAGCATGCATGCCCATGCATGGATAAGTATGTATGAATGAAGGATTGTACCTCTTCAACCGCCTTCCTCTTAAGAAAGGTATAAAAAGGGATTTTTGAAAAAGAAAACTTGTTTCCTGCCATTTTTGGAAAGTTAAGAGAGAGTAAAAATATTGTGAGTATTGTTTGTCAAAGTTGGAATCTGAAATTGGTATCAATTTGTAGTTGATTCGTATTTGCTACTTTTCATCTTCAAATTCTGAGTTTGTATAAGGTGAGTCTCGTTTAAAAATAGCCTTTGAATATGACTTCGATCACTGGTTTTATAACTTTGAAATGATGATGTATGTTTTGTAAATGTTGTATCTGTTCTTATTGATCTTCATTGACTGGTAAAGGCTATATTCGGACAAGTACTGTCCGAGGAGGGTTATTACCGGCCAAGCTTTAACCGGTAAGGGTTTTGGGTGAATTCAGTGTTGTCCGATGAGGTCTTATCGGACATATCTTTGTCCGATAAGGTCTCTTTACCGGACACAGAGTTGTCCGGATTAATGTAAACATTATGTGTTGACCGGTGAAAGCTTGTGTTCGGACAATTGATGTTCGATAATGGTATGTCCGGACACTATGTTGTCCGATGAGGGATGTCCGGTTAGCTGTTCATCGCTTAGAATAGTTGTCCAGATAAGAGTGTCCGGCTGAGAGTGTCCGGATATGTGTTGTCCGGATAGACTTGTTCGAACAGTATTATCCAGATGAGAGTTGGCCAATGAATTTATTGATAAAACTTCAAGTTATTTAGTAACGGGATTCCACAATTAACGTTTAATTGGTTTTCAAATTGTTATATTGTGAAAAGGGTATTTTACATCTTTTAGTAAATTGGAAAAGATACAAATATTTCTTCCAGACGTGGTGACATAAGTCTATTCTGGTTTGAAACTCTATTTTGAAATGTTTTTTTCCATACGTGGTGACATAAGTCTGTTCTGGTTTGAAACTATATTTTGGGAAATGTTTCTTCTAGACATGGTGACGTAAATATGTTATGGAATGAAACTTTGTTTTACGAAATAGTTCCCCCAGACGTGGTGACATTTTGTCTGTTCTGGCATGGAACTAGTATTTGGTACTTCCAGACGTGGTGAAGTAAGTATGTTCTAGTAAAGAACCCTGTTTTGAAGAAGAAATAAGAGTAGTATATCAAGGAGAGGTGTACCTATGGATATAAGGGTGACAATTGTAGGTGTGGTTAATATTATAACTCTTGTTATTATCACTATCAAATACAATAATTCTAAATTAGCATTTTTTTGTGATTTGATGATTTAGAGGTATTGTTCTCTTTAGAAATAATAACTTTGATGTTATTGAGAAGGGGAAAACGATTTATAACCAGAGGCATTAATTGCCTATGATTTCTAAATGATTTTTTATCAAGTTTCAACAAAGTGAGAATGATATATAGGGGCTCTGGTTGGTTTTCTAGAAGGACCAGAGGACCTCTGGTCATGGGGGGGTCTTAAAAATGTCTTCGGGATTTTATGAACCAGAGGCTCTGTATGTATATACAGAGGCTGTGTATCTTAGAAATAATTATTTCATAGTGTCTAAGCTCTCTTTTAAAAATCAAATCTTTTCTTCAAATATATTTATAAATGGAATAAAGAACCAGAGGAGCTCTGGTTATAGCTTATTTATCTTTTAAAATCAAGTTAGGTCCTTTTTGGATCAGAGATTCCGTGAGTCCAGATGGTCTTTGGTTGAGTGTTGAATTTTTAAATATTAAGTTAAATATAAAGGCTCTGGTCAGTAGAATCAGAAGCTCTGGTGATCAAGAGCAGAGGAGCTCTGGCCCTTTGAGCCAAAGAAGTTCTATGACAATTCTGTTAAGAGTTACAGAATTCCGAGAAAGTTGCAATTTGTGCTTTATGTTGTAGCAATTTGTTGGTTTATATATTTTGGCTAATAAACATATTTGCATGTTTTTGCTAAAATATACTTATCTTTATATAAAAGATGTTTTATCAAGTTTTAGTGATCTTCATCCTGTAATTGCAAAGAAGTGATTTACTCACTAGACCTTCCGGTTTAACTCTCATTTTGTGTTTAAAAATGTGCATTGCAGGAACAGCGGGGTCACGAGATATTAAGGGGAAGGGGAAAATATAATTATTTTTCTTATGTATTATCTACTTTATGAAGATCAGTCTGTTGCCTGTATATTTTGAAGATACATGTTGCTATACATGTGATAGTGTAAAGATATTCTTTTGGATTTTTCATATGTAAATTATGTACATATAGTATCCTTGTATTAGTGGAACCCGTGTGATGTAAATTATATTTCTTTTATATGAAATATATGTTATATGCAAATATGGAGTTTGGGGTGTTACAGAAGGTGGTATCATCATTGGTCCCCAAATCATGGTCCAATGGATGAGACGAATGCAACAACAACAAACTTGTATAGGGATCCTATCATCTGAAAAGTGAGACTATTGAGATGACATATCACCTGAAGGGAGACTATTGAGATGACATATTACCTGAAAAGGAGACTATTGAGATGACATATCACCTGAAAATGAGACTATTGAGATGACATATCACCTGAAAAGGGAGACTATTGAGATGACATACACGATATGTGGAAGAAGATTAGAGATGAGGGTTTGATAACATTTGGGTTCATCCTAGTGTAATGGCAATGGTGTTTTGGGACGTAGGTTGGAGACATCAGGTCATCCTTCACCAAAATATCAAACGTGAATCAAAACAGAGAGAAGAAATATAAAATATGCGCTTTAAGGAAAATTTAAGAAAAGACGAAAATGTCCATCACCAAGAGGTACTTTGATCAGATGCTAGGACAATAGACCATTTTTATGGTAAAATACAAATTATAGTGACTATTTATATATATATTTTTAATTTATGAACGATTGTTGTAATTTTGTGTTAACCCACCAACCAAATTGTAGTTTACTCTTAAGATAATTTAGATTTAAAAAATATTGGGGTTATGGAGTTTTCAAAACTTAATTCATTTATTCGGGAAGAATAATATGGGTTTCCAAAAACCCTTCAAATTCTTATTGCTTATAAAAAGGGTAAAATGGGGATTTTATAAACTTTGAAATATTTTATATGGATTATGGATTTATACTTAGGTGGCGTTTGGTTCGCAGATTCTAGAGGAATCTGATGGAATTAAAATGCTGAATTCCACTGACCAAATTTCATTCACTCGTTTGGTTCATTCTTTTTCACGAAAGGAATCTTTAAAATCCTACAAATTCCACGAAAAAAGGAATTTAACATTCCTTAGCAATTACATGGTATTTTGATGGAATGGAATCTCTATTTTCGTTATACCAAATATGCCCTTAATCTAATATACTCTAATCTTATTGCTCGTCGGTTTATTCAACCTTAGATTCCAACACAAAAATAGAACTCGGCGCAAGTATACACCTCGAACTACCGTCGTCTCGTAACAAGTAATAATGGTAAAAAGTACCAGATATCATTCTCACAGAGATAGCTTGTAAAGTTATTTCGAAAGTCCGGTTTATAAAAACTAGTTTCAGATGGCGAAACGAGGGATTTGATTTATCTAAAACTGGGTGAGGTTTGATTAACAACTAAGAAAAAATCAGTCTTAAGAAGAAGCACAGGGTGCAACAGTTGATTAAGACATTAAACAAAAGATTCAGTAAAAAGGTGACATAGCATTCCTG